TTAGCGGTATTCAAATTCAAATGTTGAAATTCAATTATACGCTAAAATTTAAGTCCGATGAAACAATTACTTTTACAGTATATGTTTGTCATTGAGTCGGTATGTTTGCAAGCGATATGTTTTCTTATGATATTTTGCTTGACGTTGAGTCCGTAGGCTTTGCTCGTGACGACTCGCTTGCCTCCAAGTCTACAAATATTGTTTGTTAGCGAATCTGTTTGTTTGAGAACAAAGATGTTTTCACGTGACAGTATCTTTGACTTTGCCCATCAGCATATGCTTTAACTGAGTCTATGTTTTCGAGGGATGATGTTTTTCCGTGAGAGCTATACTTGATTTTGAGTCTGTAAGTGTGCTTGCGAGTCTATATGTTTGTGAGTCTCGTATGTTGCTAGTTACTTTGTGTCTAGTCTCGTATGTTGCTAGTTACTTGGTTTCTAGTCTCATATGTTTTAAGTTACTTTGCGTCTAGTCTCGTATGTTACTAGTTACTTGGTTTCTGGTCTCATATGTTGCTAGTTACTTTGCGTCTAGTCTCGTATGTTTCTAGTTACTTGGTTTCTAGTCTCGTATGTTGCTAGTTACTTTGCGTCTAGTCTCGTATGTTTCTAGTTACTTGGTTTCTTGTCTCGTATGTTGCTAGTTACTTTGTATCTAGTCTCATATGTTGCTAGTGATATTGCGTCTAGTCTCATATGTTGCTAGTTACTTGGTTTCTAGTCTCATATGTTGCTAGTTACTTGGTTTCTAGTCTCGTATGTTGCTAGTGATATTGCGTCTAGTCTCATATGTTGCTAGTTACTTGGTTTCTAGTCTCAGATGTTGCTAGTTACTTTGTTTCTAGTCTCGTATGTTGTTAGTTACTTGTATCTAGTTTCATATGTTGCTAGTTACATTGTGTCTAGTCTCATATGTTGCTAGTTACTTTGTGTTTTGTCTCGTATGTTGCTAGTTACTTTGTTTCTAGTCTCGTATGTTGCTAGTTACTTTGTTTCTAGTCTCGTATGTTGTTAGTTACTTGTATCTAGTTTCATATGTTGCTAGTTACATTGTGTCTAGTCTCATATGTTGCTAGTTACTTGGTTTCTAGTCTCATATGTTTTAAGTTACTTTGCGTCTAGTCTCGTATGTTACTATTTACTTTGTGTCTAGTATCAAATTTTGCTAGGAACTATGGGTCTTGTCTTATATGTTGCTAGTAACTGTGTCCAGTCTCGTATGTTAGTTACTTTGTGTCTTAGTCTCATATGTTGCTAATAACTTTGTGATTTGTCTCGTATGTTTCTAATTACTTTTGGTCTTATCTCATGTGTTGCTAGTTACTTTGGGTCTTGTCTCATGTGTTGCTAATAACTTTGTGTCTAGTCTCATATGTTGCTAGTTATACTTTGTGTCTTAGTCTCGTATGTTACTATTTACTTTGTGTCTAGTATCAAATTTTGCTAGTAACTATGGGTCTTGTCTTATATGTTGCTAGTAACTGTGTCCAGTCTCGTATGTTAGTTACTTTGTGTCTTAGTCTCATATGTTGCTAATAACTTTGTGTCTTAGTCTCGTATGTTACTATTTACTTTGTGTCTAGTATCAAATTTTGCTAGTTACTTTGGGTCTTGTCTCATATGTTGCTAGTAACTGTGTCTAGTCTCATATGTTGCTTATAACTTTGTGTCTTGTCTCGTATGTTGCTATTTACTTTGTGTCTTGTCTTGTATGTTGCTAGTGATATTGCGTCTAGTCTCATATGTTGCTAGTTACTTTGTGTCTTGTCTCATATGTTGCTAATAACTTTGTGTCTTAGTCTCGTATGTTACTATTTACTTTGTGTCTAGTATCAAATTTTGCTAGTTACTTTGGGTCTTGTCTTATATGATGGTAGTAACTGTGTCTAGTCTCATATGTTGCTAGTTACTTTGTGTCTAGTCTCGTATGTTGCTAGTTACTTGGTTTCTAGTCTCATATGTTGCTAGTTACTTTGGGTCCAGTCTCATATGTTGCTAGTTACTTTGTGTCTAGTCTGGTATGTTAGTTACTTTGGGTCCAGTCTCATATGTTGCTAATAACTTTGTGTCTTAGTCTCGTATGTTACTATTTACTTTGTGTCTAGTATCAAATTTTGCTAGTTACTTTGGGTCTTGTCTCATATGTTGCTAGTAACTGTGTCTAGTCTCATATGTTGCTTATAACTTTGTGTCTTGTCTCGTATGTTGCTAGTTACTTTCTGTCTATGATTCGTTAGATTTGTAACCAAATCTGCTTTACCCGTTAGTTAGCACTTTTTGAGATGTTCTGGTAAGTCTATTAAGTTTGCCATCGTTGTCTTTGTTTGGATGGAAAGTGTTCAGTTTGTCTCAAGGTTTTATCGAAAGGTCTATGGTTTCCATCTTGATTCAGGGGAAATTTTCCTGAGAGTCTTTTAGATTGTTTGAGTCGTTTGCGAGCTGAAAGCGATTATCCGGTTAGACTAGTGTTGTCTCACTGTACTATATTTGTCCCAAATTTACTTGTAGTTGCAGGTATTTCTATGGATAACAAGATCAAAATCACAAATTTGCCTCATCTACAGAGCATATTTTTATAGATTAAAGTTACTATATATACATATATATAAAATCAATTGAAATACTCTTTCGTTTTATTTGTGTTTTATTTTAAAACAATGTAAAATAGCACATTTATAAAAAACAATGACATGTGTTCCTGTAATCTTTTCGAATAGTCCATTTAATACATTTATCAGCTGTGACCAAGGCTACTACACTTTCTTACAGGCATGTCATGTAGTCCGTTCGTCTGTTTCATGGACTAGTTTTTGTGTTTCTGGTTCGTATTTTTGTCCGATTACTCCACGAACATTAAACTGAATTTCACAAGTCATAACTTGTTTTGGTATACTCGATACAAGGAAAGCACAGCCAAACGAGTGAAATCGTCGTTGAAAAAAGGGAAATATCTAAAAGACATCTAAATTGCTCACGTGCCAGGAAAGGATCGTTTGACCCAAGTGTTTGTAGTACAGTCGAATCTATATTATGAGACCACCGATAGGAAGCCTCAAAAATGGTCTCTTAACATAGAGGGTTTCCTAATAGTAGGGAGGACCCAAATCGGATCACTATTCGCGAACATACTTTAAATAATACCACCAGTTCAGTTTCGTCAATGATATCAGATTAGAATGCATAGCCATGCATATTGTTTTGTCGACAGATGATTATTTTTTAAGTTCAAACAGCATCAGGTGACGTATTTCAATTCGAAAATGAGTTTACGTAAATTTGTCCGTTCGAGGACTATCCATACCGCTTCGTATTACAAGAATAAATTCAGCCTTTAAAATGTCTTGCATAAAAAAAAATATCATCATAAAATGTTAAAATGCACCCAAAACAAATGATAATTTGAAAAGTTTTTGATACCGTCACATGCACAAAACTAATTTGTGACGTCAGAGTGTTCAATAAATATATCACGTAAGCTTTTGGTGTGTATTTCATTTGTAAGAACGCTTATCAGTATTCTTATATTGATACAACCATTAAGGAAAAAAAATCATCCTCCGAATTTTTGCAAGGAATAAATAAATCGGTGATCCATTTTTTGTTCTGTCGACTTAATGTATAATTAACAAATCAAATAAAAAGTCCCGCGAATAAACGAAACAGACATTACACATAAGTTTATTAAAATTAATCCGAGATGTGATATCATCTTGCGTTATGTTCTGAGCCATGTAACATGCATGTACTACCTAGGTCTGGTGACCTCTTATTACACGTACACAGAGTCATCCGTCAGTTCGTAATCATTTCCTCATTCCGTACGTCTTGATCAGAACCTGTCGGGCCTTATTAGGCATAGTTTACATCGTTATACCGTCAGATTTAGCATGTTAGTGTCCTGGGACACGGCCTGAATTTGTGAACCGCTCTGAGACGACTTACGAATTAGGTTGTGATAAAGCGGTATATAAGAACCGCGAATTATTGTTATTATTATTATTAAAATCCAAGGGGATACGCTCTCGTTTTAGCAGAGGACTTTGAAATAGATTTGAGATCCTTCTCGGAAGTGTCGATTCTGCTTGAAATTCTGATTCAGTGATATTTGTTGTTTGAAAATAGAATGAATTGATCACTTCTGTTACAGTAAGTAGACAAAGAAATCTCAGACTGAGGGTAAGCCTTTTGAAGTTTAGCATGATGTGCGATTATTTTCCCACACACTTTCCTACCGTTAAAGTCATATGGGTCCAATGCATCGCGCTATCGCCAATGGAATGAACTGACGTCACCCTGGTTACACTGCATAAAGTGATGACGCGATAGTGACGTTTTCAGAATAC